CCCCGTCACCGATGCCCCCTCAGCCCCTCACTCCCCCCCGCCCCGGGACGGCTCCCCTACGGTCCGGCGGGTGCCCGCAGCCCCTCACCATCGTAGTAGTAGCAGACTTTGCGCTTCGTCCCCTGCGTCAGCGCCATTTTCCTGCCTCCCCTCACAGCGCCCGACCCGCCGCCGTGCCGCGCAACCAACCCTGCCCGCCCCGGGCCCGCGGCCCCGCCTTCCGCGCCGTTCCGTCCAATCGCAGCTCTTTGTTCCGCCCCCTCCCGTCCTCTAACCAATCGCAAGCCACAGCGGCACCTAGCAGGTTAGGCTGAGTGCCGGGGTGCTTGGGCTGTACCACTGCGGCGGAGGATGGGGGGGAGGCTGTACCATCGCTGAGGGGGGGGGCAAAAGAGGAGAGGGTCCAGGTGGGCGGGGAGGAACCACTCCCTTGGGGGGGGGGGCAGGGGGGGCTGAACCATCCCAGGGGAGGGGGGTCCCCAGGGCAGGGCTGACCCACGTGGGTGGGCGAGAGAGGGGCCAGGGGGGTCTCAGAGGGCTGGGCTGGGGTCAGGGGGGTCTGGGGGGTCCCAGGGGCTCCCCGGGGTGGGTTGGTGTGAGTGGGGTCCGTCTGCCGTGGGTATCACCCCGCAGATCCCATCCCATGGCAGCCTGGCGCTGCGAGAACCCCGCCGCTGAAAAGGCTTTTATTTCCCCAAAACTATTGTGGGATGGGTCCTACAAACGCCGTGGGGGGACAAGGAGCATCCCACGGCCAAGGGGTGCAGTGGCCAGCGCTGCTGGGGGGGTAAAGGGGGCACAGCCAGAGCAGCTCCAGAGGGGCTGGAGCCTGGATCTGCCCCCTGGAAAACGCAGGGACAGCAGGGTGGGCACCCTCGGGGCACCAGCGGAGTTCCCTGTGCCATCCCCCAGCTTTTGGGGCTCTGCTTTAGCCGTCCATCCCCATCTAAAGGTGACAAATCTGCAGCTCCCAAGCTCCGGAGCGCTTCAAATCTTCCCTGCGAGTTCCAAGCAGAGTTTAATCCCAGCTCGGGGTGATGTCCGTGGGGATGTGGGGCACCCCCAGCACCCCAAACCGGGGCTGTGCCAGCTGCAGGGACCTCAGGGCTCCTGCTGGTACTGGCCCTCGGTGGCAGTGAAGAAATCCTCGAGCACACTCTTCATGAAGTCGAAGGTGGGGCGCTCCTCGGGGCTCTCCTTCCAGCACTGCCTCATCAGCTCGTACAGCTCCGGGGGGCAATTGTCCGGCTGTGGCATCCGATAGCCCCGCTCCAGGTTCTGGATCACCTCGGGGTTGGTCATCCCTGCAGGGAGGGCAACACGTGTGGGGTTCAGTTTGGGTCACCCCCGTGGTGTGGGTGCCAGCCCGGGGTTGGTCACCCCTGCCAGGACCCAGTTTGGGTCACCCCCATGTCACAGGAACCACCCCAGGGTTGGTCACCCTTGCCAGGACAATGCCCAGGACCCGTTTTGGGTCTCCCCCATACTGCAGGGACCACCCTGGGGTTGGTCACCCCTGCCAGGACCCAATTGGGGTCACCCCCATGCCACAAGGGCCACCCTGGAATTGGTCACCCCTGCCAGGACAATGCCCAGGACCCAATTTGGTTCACCCCTAGGTTTTTGGGACCAGCCTAGGGTTGGTCATTCCTACCAGGACAATGCCCGGGACCCAATTTGGGTGACAAGGACCACCCCAGGACTGGTCACCCTTGCCAGGACAATGCCCAGCACCCACTTTGGATTGTAGGGACCAGCCTAGGTTGGGTCACCCTAACCAGAACAATACCCAGCACCCAATTTGGGTCTAAGGGACCACCCCAGTCTTGATCACCCTAACCAGAACAATACCCAGCACCCACTTCAGGTCTCAGCTACCACCCACCCACCCCAAACCCCGCCGGGGGGGGACTCCCCACCCTCTTCCAACCCCTCCCCAGGTGGCTTTGGGGGCCGTGGCCGGTGTAGCCACGCCGGGCTGGGTGGAGGGCAGGGAGCCAGGCTGGCAGCAGCGTGCGTGCAGCGCTGCATGCACACACTCCTCGTGGGCGTGCCAGCCCCGCAGCTGCCCCAAAATCCTGACCTGGATACGGGATCCGGCCGTAGGTGACGATCTCGGTGAGCAGGATCCCAAAGGACCACACGTCCGACTTGATGGTGAACGTGCCGTAATTAATGGCCTCGGGTGCTGTCCATTTAATCGGGAATTTCGCCCCTGGGAAGCGGCGGGAAGGGAGGCGATAAAGCGCCCTGGCTGAGCTGGGATCGCGCTGGGTTTAATCCGATGTGACAACCCCCAGCCAGGCTCTGTCGCTGCCTGGGGGCGAGCTTTGGCTTTGGTGGCTGAGCCCCCCCCCGAGCCTGCGGTAGCCACGCAAAGCAGGAGCCCCGCATCCCCCTCCAACTGCGGGGACAGAGATGGAAAAAAGGGGAAAAAAACCCAAAAACATCCTGGCACCCCCTGCTGCAGCTCCCCACAGAGCCAAGCTGGTCCCTGTCCCCATGTCCCCATGTCCCCAAGCTCTGTGACCCCGGGGCTGGGCTGGGCTCACCCTCCCGAGCCGTGTACTCGTTATCCTCGATCAGCCGGGCCAGCCCAAAATCGGCGATTTTGCAGCACAAAGTTTCCGAGACGAGGATGTTGGCGGCCCTCAGGTCCCTGTGGATGTAATTCTTGGCCTCGATGAAGGCCATGCCTTCAGCAATCTGTAATTATGAACGGGTCGCGATTGTTAATTAACAGCTCCAGCCCTGCAGAGCTCTCCCAGCTCCATCCCAAATTTTTCTGCTCCCCCCCCCTCACCTGTGCTGCCATGTCCAGCAGTTTGTTGATGCTGAGTTTGACTCCTTCCGAGGTCTTGAGGAAGTCCACGAGGCTGCCTGTGATGGAAGCAGCAATTCTCAACTCCTGGGGCCATGGGGGGGTCACAAGGGCACTGTCCCACCCCCCCCCCCCCCCAAAAAAAAAGCTCTGGGAGTGTGGACAGCAGAACACAGAAAATCTTTTTTTTCCCCCAAGCTAGAGGCATCAAAATCTCTAAAATTAACAAATTTCCACATGGCCAATCTTTCATTTTTACTGATTTTGGAGGTGCTGCAGTCACACCCCTGGAAGAGTTTTAGGAATAACCAATTTTAGGAATAACAGAGCTCCGAGCCAATTTAGGTGGCGATTTTTCCCAGCTTGAACTCTGCCCTGAAAATCTTTTCCAGCCTTAAAATTCCAGAGTTTTGCGGCCACATCCCCGTGGATGTGGCAGCACCTGGAGCCCCCCGAGGTGGCCTCACCCTTCTCCATGAACTCGGTGATGATGTAGATGGGTTCTTTGGTGACCACGGCGTAGAGCCGCACCAGCCGCGGGTGCTGCAGCTTCTTCATCAGGTTGGCCTCGGCCAGGAAGGCGCTGGGGGACATGCTGCCAGCCTTGAGGCTCTTCACTGCCACCTTCGTGTGCCCGTTGTACAATCCTTGGGGGAAAAACCAGGGAAAAACGGGATCCGGACACGGGGCGGGTGGGGATGGCGGGGCCAGCCGAGGAGGGCGGCGCCAGGGAGGGTCACAAGGAAAGGAGGAGATGCTGGAGGTTCCAAAAGTTGGGTGGGAGTCGGGAAGGTTGGGTGGAGATGGGGTTTGATGAGCCGAAAATGTTTGTTGTGGGATGGAGGGGAGCAGAGGAAGATGGAGGAGAGGGATGGAGGGCAAGGATGGAGGGCAAGGATGGAGGGAAGCAGGGAGAGATTGAATAAAGTAGGGAGGGATGGATGGAAGCAGGGAAGGATGGAGAGGAGGGATGGAGGGAAGTGAGATAGGATGGAGAGAAGAGATGGAGGGGAGCAGGGAGGGATGGAGGGAAAGAAAGGAAGGAAGGAAGCAGGGAAGGATGGAGGGGAGCAGGGCAGCCCCACCACAGCACTCAGGGATCAGGGTGGTTTGGTTTTTTTTGATTTTGTGGCTGGATCTGCCCCCAAACCCCCACAGCTGCTCCAGCACTCAAGGGACACTCCCAAGTGGGGACAAATCCAGCAGCTCTGCAGCTCCATGATGCCACATGTCACCCCTGTCCCCACCAGCGGAGCAGGGATCCAAGGATGGGAGGAAAGGAAATTTGGGCTGGGTTCTCCCTTCTTCCAGGACCTTCCAGTCCCACACCTTGGGCTGTGCTGGCTGCTCCGTGTGAGATCCCAGCTGGATTTTTCCCGGCTGGAGGATCCTACTGCTCTCTCTGGTGCCCCAGTTTCACCCTGACTCACCCATCCAGACCTCTCCGAACTGCCCCGCTCCCAGCTTCTCCACCAGCTTCAGCGACTCCCGCGGCACCTCCCACTCGTCCTGCCACCACGGCTTCTGCGGCTTCTGCGTCCGGCAGGGCTTGCCCAGGCGGCAGCAGAGCCCGTCGGAGCTGCCTGGGCCAGGGGGAAGCAGAGCTGGGCCAGCGCGGGGCACCCGGCACGGGCCAGGGCTGGGCTGGGGCTCGGGGAGCAGCGGGACCTCCTCATCCCATCCCATCCCATCCCAAAATCCCGTCCCATCCCATCATTCCGTCCCATCCTGTTCCATCCAGTCCTAGTCCATTCCCATTCCATCCACTTCTCATTCCCACCCTATTCTCGCCCCATTCCGACCTCATTCCCCCCCAGTCCCATTCCCATCCCATCCTGTCCAATCCCTGCCCCATTCCCACCCAATTCCCACTCCATCCCTGCCGAATTCCCACTCCATTCCCATTCCCCTCCATTCCCATCCCTTCCTATCCAATCCCTGCCCCATTCCCATCCCGTTCCCACCCCATTCCCGCCCAATTCCCGCCCCATTCCCATTCCCATCCCGCACGTGTGTAGTGCTGCACCAGCTCCCTGAGGCTGCCGAAGGGGTTGCGGGGGGAGATGTAGAAGCCGCCGCTGTCCAGGTTCCGGATCTTGTAGTGCTTCACCGTCTCTCCCTGTCTCTCATCCAGGTCCCGCACGGACAGCGAGTACGAGCCTGGGGACAGGGACACCCGTGGGACCCCAGAGCCCTCCCGTGTCCCCCCCCCCGAGCCCGAGGGAGCCGCGGGTGGCACCTTTGGAGGTCTCGCTCTCGCGGATGAGGAAGGAGCCGTGGGTGTTCCCCGAGGCCAGCAGCTGCCGCTCGGCGTCCTTGCGGCTGATGTTCTTGAAAAACCACCTGGGGACACGGGGCAGGGCTCAGGGGGAGCCCTTGG